TTGTAGGAGCTGGCAAATCTAAAGTCTGTATGTCAGGTGGCAGGCAGCTGGTTCCCGTCACAAGAACTGGAGTTCATAGGATGATGAGGCAAATATAGAATTGAGGGAGTGTTAAGCTTTGCCAGGGAGTCCTGGTGTGGCACTGTGGTTTAATGCCCTGGACCGCAAAGTCAGTTTGAACCACAAGGTTGGTGGTTCAAGCTCACTAGCAGCTCCTTAGAAGCCCTATACCGGGTCTCTGTGGGTCGAAACCGACTCAACAGCACTTAACAACAACAACAAGCTTTGCCAGAACATTCATATATATTGGATGCAGGCCACACCCCCAAGGAACTTCCCTTCCAAATGATTGGCTGCTCACATCAGATCTCTGAAAGGAGGAGGATGATTACATAATGTTTACCAAGCACTGAGAATCATCCACTAGCCAAGTTGATACAAACATTAAGCATCACATTAGCCTTTTGAATTTCCTATTTTAGGAAGTGCCAGTTTAAGTCTTTGGCCTATTTTCCTAAGAGGTTGTGGGGGCTTTTCCTATGACTTACAGGAATTCCCTGTGTTCTAGACAAGCCTTTTACTGACTAAATGCTATCATTACCTTTTCCCTTTTTGTGGCCTTACACTCTGTAATGTCTTGAGTAAAACAAAAACAAGAAAAGTCCATTCCTATCCAGTCAGTCCTATATAACTCAAGAGTGACCCTGTAGGACCCAGTAGAACTGCCCTAGAGAGTTCCCAGACTGGAAATCTCTACAGAAGCAGACTGCTGCCACGTCTGTCTCCCACAGAGTTACTGGTGGGTTTAAACTGCGGACCTTTTGACTGGCAGCTGAGCACTTTAGCCCCAGTGCCACCAGGCTCCTTCAAACAGAATCTCATTACCCCTTATGTAGTCCTCTCATGTTCTTCGCTCTGCAAGCCCCTGATACCACTAATAAGCTTTTGTCTCTCTGTGTGTGTTTGAGGTACAAGGGTAAATCAGAAGTACTGTTGCAAAATCATAGAGTCCTTTATTAAACAGAAAGAGCAAAATGTGAAGCTGTTGTTTCTTGACATAACCTCCAGTTAGGGTTAGACACTTTTGGAGGTGGAGTTTTCATCTCTTTAACCCTTCCCCAAAGAATTCTATGCTCTTCGTTTCTTCGTTTTACACCATGTCAAAACAGTAGTTTTGGCATTCTCAAGATACTCAAAAGTATGTTCCTTTGACATATTCTTTGGGTTTTGGGAAACCAAAGCTGAAGAGGTAAGGTCAGGGCTGGAGGTAGATGGGGTAAGGTTTCCCAGTGAAATTGTCTTAGCTTGCTACCCTTGAAGAATATTGTTGTTTTGTGCCACTGAGTCAGTTCTGACGCATAGCGACCCTGTACAGGGTTTCCAAGGAGTAGCTGGTGGATATGAACTGCAGTCCAGGGCCTACCCTGCAATGCCACAGTAGGCTGACCCTTAAAGAATACTCAGATCTAGTGTGATAGAAAAATCTTTCTTGGTATAAACTACCTGATCTTTTTCTCACCGTTACAGTTTTCAATTTTCTTAAAACTTCTAATAAGCCCATGTGGTCATCTTGTGCCCTTTGAGAAAATCTTATCAATATGACCCCTTTGGAATCCAAAAAACAGTCACCATGGCCTTGTAAACTGACCACTCTGTCTTCAATTCACCTTTGAGGTCTTTCTGACCTTCCTTAAAATGCTTAAACCTCCTCTAGAAGCTGTTGTTTTGTTCTGGCAGTACTCTCATAAACGTGTTGCAGGAGATTTTAGAAGATTTCCACTTTAGTTTTGTTGAAATTTTAGTATTACTCTTGACCACAAAATCTTTTTATTCCATGGCACAAAAAGTATTCTTTTTTTTAAAAAGGTATTCTACAAGACTAAGGAGCCCTGGTGATCTAGTGGGCTACATGTTAAGCTGCTAACCACAGGTCAGCAGTTCAAGCCCACCAGACGCTCAGTGGGAGAAAAATGATGCTTACTGCTCCCACAAAGATTGACAGCGTTGGAAACCCTGTACCGGGTCACTGTGAGCTGGAACCAGCTTGACAACAGCACGTCACCACCGCCAAGACTTCAGCCCAAGTGTACTGCTGAGGGAACTTGTCTGCAGCTATCTGCTGATCTCAGAGACATGTTTAAACACGTTTAGCTTGGAATAAACCTGTGCATGTATGAACTGGAACCCTAGTGGCATTATTTTTAGACTTACACCTGTGTGTAACTCAGAAATAAGGCACAAAAATCTGTCAGTCGGACATTATCATAGCAACTCTGTGACTCTGTAGATAATTATGTAGCCTAAAAGTAATAGAAAAAGTGAATCTATTACAAAATAAGATAATTCTTTCAATGAAGAGTTACACAAAAGATGAAAAATATAAGAGGGCTTCAAAAAGTGCTTCAGAAAGTTCATGCAAAAATGGAATGCAAAGATAATGGAATTTTTCCATGAACTTTTGAAACCTCTCATTAAAAGGAAAAAAATACATATGTGCTCATAAAAATCATACAATTAGAGCAATTTCTATATAAGGGTAAGCCAAAAAATATTGCTATGAGGGTTTCAAGTCATACATGCCCTAGGTTGGTTCATTCTAAGCAAATATATGTTTAAACATGTCTCTGTGATCAGTGGCTGGCTGCGATGAGTTCTCCCAGCGACTCACTTGTCCTAGTTTTGTTAGGGGGCCTTCAGAAAAAAAAGCCCAACCAGAACCTTCTGACAGGATCTGCTGGATAGTTCAAGCCAAAGCAAGATAAGTCCACTCAGAAGGTTACGGAGACTGATTCCAAAGGGATTCCAAAGGGATAATCTTGAGAGGGAGTCCTGATGTGGTGCCTAGGATAAGCACGCAACTGTTAACTGCAGGTTGGCAGTTCAAACCCACCAGCCACTGCTTGGAAACCCTATACAGGGTCTCTCTGAGTCAGAACTGTCTCCACGGCACAGTCTTGAGAGATTGTCTCGAAGGGCACAGGATGATCATGAGTTTTGTTACTGACAACTTCACTGGTGAGAAAAAAGGCCAGGAAAGCTGTACCAAGGAAACTGTTCTCCTCACAGCAATGCACCTGCTCATTCTTAGAGGGTAGCAAGAGCTCTCCTATGAGAGTGTCACTGGGCAACCGTACCCTGTCCACGCTACAGCCCAGCTCTGGTCCCTTCAGACTTCTTTTTGTTCTCCAAACTCAAAAGCAATGCACAGGAACACAATTTGAGGCACTGCCGTTTTGACAGGTCTTTAGGGAAGGTTAGAAAGAGTCCAGGGGCTCCACCTGGAGAAGTTGTTTGTCCTGGATGGATGGAGGGTGTGGTGAGAAGGAACAGCAGTGGCTTGACAGAAAGATGATGGAGAACAAAGGACTGAGCCAGGCAGGTGTTAATGTGACACTAATAGAGAGGTGGGGAGGTAGAGTGGATGTCAGGTAAAAGGCTTTGTCTATAATCTTTCAATCTAGTGTACAGAGTTAGAATGAAATAATCCCCAAAAAAGGTGAAAACTGAGCAGTGTGTCTATCCCTGGTGGCAATAAAGAACCACAATTGCTAGTAAATGTGCAGTGGTTGGGAAGGGATTAAATTACGTTATATGGAATATTATGCCAGAAAAAGGCTGGTGTGGCGCTGTGGGATCAGCCGTGGACTGTGCCTCACAAGGTCAGTGGTTCAAACCCACCAGCTGCTCCTCGGAAACCCTGTACAGGGTCATTGTGAGTCAGAACTGACTCGACAGCACTTAACTACAACAGCATACTCCACCCCCCGCCCAAAAAAAAAAAATTCCTCTTTGCCATCAGTAGATTCTGACTGATAGCAACCTTCGAGGACACAGGAGAAATGCCCCATAGAGTTTCCAAGGTTATAGTCTTTATGGACGCAAATGGCCACCTCTTTCTCCCACAGAGCAGCTGGTAGGTTCGAACTGCCAAGCTTTCAGTTAGCTGCTGAGCACTTTTCACTGCGCCACCAGGGCCCCTCCTGGAATATACAGTCATTAAACATCGTGTTTATGTAGCCTTCATCAAAACTCCATTCAAAGGCATGTGAAAAATAAAGGAACACACTCAGAAATGTATATAGTTGATTTATTACCAAGAAAGGATGGAGCGTCATTAGTCAAAATGAAATTGTATTACTAGTACCGGTGTACAGTAGACAGACTTGTGTACAAAGTTGTTGTTATGTGCTATGGAGTCGGTTCCGACTTGTAGTGACCCTGCACAGGGTTTCTGAGGCTGTAAATCTTTACGGGAGCAGAAAGCCTCATCTTTCTCCCATGGAACAGCTGGTAGTTACGAACTGCTGACTGAGGTTAGTGGCCCGTGTGTAGGTAAATTTGAGATGAGCCCAGTTGAAAGAACTGGCTGTGGGGCGTTCTAGTTTGCAATGCGTGGAGTGATTATTTCCTTAGCGCTGGGCGTTTTTGTGGCTCCCTAGTGCTTACCTTCTCATGTGACAATCCTCCTGTGTGCGTCACATACATCCGGCTTGAAAGCAGTGGGATTGTAAGTGAAGTCAGGTATATGGGGGTGATGGTATTGAATGTGTGGAAGAGAGTCAGCTGGGGTCCCCATGTGCTGCTGTTATCTGTGTGAAATCAAAAGTGGCCCCTGCCTTTGTCCAGTCAGAGGTCTCGTGCTTTTTGCTTCCAAAACTGGACTCTTTCTCATAAGACTGTTTCGTGGTTCTCCCACAGCCCTCCAGGGAGGAGTTGGGTAGAGCAGGGCAGAAGGCAGAAGATCCCTGCAGGGTCTCTAGTAGAGGCGCCCCATCTGCCTCTCTCTCCATGTCAGCCATCCTCTTAGCACTGACTGGGTTCATCTTACAGACAGAGCCACTGAGACGCACGCCAGGGGACGCAACTGCATCCTGGGTTCTCACTTCTCTTTCTTTAGTCTTTGCTCAGTCCTACTCCATACCTCCCGGGCAGCACCATTCATCTCTCTGTGAGTCTCTCCTGCTTGGCTCTGTCACATTCCTCTTTTTTTCCTTTTCTAGAAAGAAAAGTCAAAATCGAACAGTTCAGCAGCCCGGGAACCTAATGGCTTTCCCTCTGATGCCTCAGCCAATTCTTCTCTCCTTCTTGAATTCCAGGGTGAGTTGCATCCCTGTCTTCCTTGCAGGAAAATGGAAACAGACGCACCATTCGTAAGAAGAAGCATTCAAGGCATCGTCTGAGTGCCTCTGCTGGCCTGGTATTGGCTAGGCACCTACTTTACCTGATGTTTTCTCAGTGAACGCTCACAATAATCCTGTGAGATAGATCAGATCAGATTGTCCTCGCTTCTAGTGAAGGAACCACAGGGGCTCAGAGAGGGGAGGTGAAGTATCTAAAGTCACACAGCTCGTATGTAACAGGCCCACATTAGGTGTTGGAATCTCAGGATCCAAAGCTCTTCTCTCCAGATTGTCTGTGTTGTGCCAGGGCCCTAGGACAGACCTCTCAGAGCTGGGGCATCTGCCCGACAGTCCTCAGTGGCCCTGTGGCAGGCGTCACGTCACCTCTCGTAGCAGCAAGGGGCGGCTGTGTATGTGACATTTACACACCGGTGTCATTTTTTCTGTCAGCCTGTGATCCAGACCAGGCCACGATGGCTGTTTCTATTTAAAGTAACAAACTCCTCAGAGAGGACCTCTGGTTAGACTGTGATGAAAGTGCTCAGTCATGAACCATAAGGTCAGTGGTTCAAGCCCACCAGCTGCTCCGCAGGAGAAACATGTGGCATTCTGCTTCCTAAAGGATACGTAACCTTAGAAAGCCTCTGTCCTCGCAGGGTCACTGACTGTGAATGGGAATTGACTCGATGGCATGGCTTTGGCTTGATGCTTCTAGAGGAAAGGTCTTGCATAAGCACACAAGGGATGAAGCTTTATTCTTTCCATAGTAAAGTGATGCTTCCCGTTTAGCGCGTCTTTGTAGGAGTAAAGACTGATGTGGGCTTGTGACTTGCTCTTTGGTGTTAGGCGTGGTGCTAACCAGCAGGCAGTTATTCCCAGTCTAGCCTTCCTCGTGCTCCCCCTTGGTCTGTGCAGTTTGATTTGTGAAGTGTTACGTAGCCATAGAGCCCTAGGAGAAACAGGGGGCTCTGTTTCTTCTGTGTGGTCACCATCTCATTCTTTTCCTTCGGTGAACATTTAATGCATACCTACTGTGTGCCTGGTACTTTGTATAGCACTAATGGAGTCCTGGTGTGGCTCTGGACTGCAAAGTCGGTTTGAGCTTCAGGGTTAGCAGTTTGAACTTAGCAGCTGCTCCTTGGAAACCCTGTACAGGGTCGCTGTAAGTTGGCACCGACTTGACAGCACTTAACAGCAACAGGCAGCAGGGAGAGCGCTCTATGGGGGTGGTGTTTGGTACACTCCGGGGCACTGGGAGCCAAGGCTCAGAGACCAGAGGCATGCAGACAGAGCTCAAGAGGCTGGAACCAAGGCAGTAAAGCTATAAGAGACCTGGGTGCCTCCAGATTTGAGGACTGAATGCTGGAGGTGAGGGAGATGAGATGGAGGAGTTGTGGGGTGCTGAATCCAGGGCATTACTTTAAACCACCAGACAGAGCTTCTCTACCTAGGCAGCCAGGAGGAACGCAGGCAGCAGCAGCCCCTTCAGACACCCCAGAGGTCCAGACAGATTGTATCCTTCTCTGCACACCTTTCGGTGTGAGAAAGGTTGGGAGGTACTGACCTAAGGCCCAGCGACACTCTGCTTCTCGGTAGATGGAATATACCAGATCCAGGCTATCATGGTATACCAGAAAGAAGGGATGCATCAGAAGGACAAACATTGCCAAATCTTACAGATTCTTGAGGGAGCTGATGCTTAGACTGTGTGTTGAAACAGAAAGTGCTGAATCACCTTGGCCCCTGCTGGTGATTTGAGGTACTTCCAGCTGCCTGGGAGTCAGCCTCCCAGGGTGTGTCTCCCGCCGCCGAGCTCAGGCTGCTGAGGCTCTGTGGTGAGCTATGGCCTTTGCTGTGTTTGGTTTTCAGACGAAAACAGCAACCAGAGTTCGGTGTCTGATGTCTATCAACTCAAGGTGGACAGCAGCACCAACTCAAGCCCCAGCCCCCAGCAGAGCGAGTCCCTGAGCCCAGCGCACACATCTGACTTCCGCACAGATGACTCTCAGCCCCCCACTCTGGGGCAGGAGATCCTCGAGGGTGAGTCTTGGTTGACAAGGGATAAGCGTCTTGGAGGGCCTTCTTGGCCCCCGCTGCTTCTGCTCTTCAGAGGAAGAGCTTCAAGAGTATGCCTCAGAGCTTCTCGTTACACCTTGGGGGACTTTGGGAAGTGAGTGTATTTTGTCCTCACTAGAATGAAGGAAGTAAACAAACCAGTGCATCTGAGTACCAGGCTGTGTAAAACACATCTGTTATTTGCTGCCTGATCGCTGCCTCCATTTTACAGATGAGGCTATGGGGGCTTGGAAAGGTTGCCCCAGATGACACAGCACAGTGGATGTTAGTCTGAGAGTCCTGGTGGCTCAAAGCCACCAGCTGCCGTGCAGGAGAAAGATGTAGCAGTCTGCTTCTGCAAAGGTCAAGGTCTCGGGAACCCCCAGGGCAGTTTATTCTGTCCTGTAGATAACGGTCTGAGACTCTTGTTGTCTGTTACCTGTTAGCAGTGAGGCTACAAAATGGAGTTTGTTCCTCTGTAAATACGGCTAGTAGCAGTTTTTATTGTGCACTTGTTTGCCAAAGGAGCCCTTGTGGTCCTGCAAGATAAGCATTAGACTGTTCATCGCAAGGTCAGCAGTTCAAACCCACCAGCTGCTCTACTGGAGAAAGAGGAGACTGTCTGCTCCCGTAAAGATTTAGTCCCAGAAACTTTGGGTGGGGGGTCTCCGTGCATCAGAATGGAATCCGTGGGTGGATAGCTGGGTTTGCTGTTGGCGGGACATCATCCTGAGCTCTTCACAGGAGCATCATTGAGTCCCCCCAGCAGCACGCTCTGAGTGCCTGGTTAGTGTGTGGGAGACAGAGGGGTGAGGTGAGCTGCATCACACGCTCTCCTGCTGAGCATTGCGACCCTCTGGGGTCTGGTCAGGTGTGGCACTCATCTCCTGTAACTCAGCCAGACCCCTGGCAGTCCCCTCATTCCTTCCTTCAAAAGTTCAATTCCCTCACCACCTGGTCACCTTCACACGACTTCTATAGGAAAGCTTGCAGCTGAGCTGCCACAGGCGTCTGCTGCCGACCTCCGGAAGGCCCTGTATTCATGCTGGTCTCCCTGTCTTTTCAGAGCCCTCCCTGCCTGCCTCAGAAGTGGCTGATGAACCTCCCACCCTGACGAAGGAAGAACCCGTTCCGCTGGAGACACAGGTCAGAAGGCCCTTTCGATTGACCAGATTCTAAAAAAAAAAAAGGGAAGTCCTGGTGTGGCACTGTAAGATAAGCACTGGACTGCCAGGTCGGTTTGAGCTGCCGGGTCGGCAGTTCCAGTCCACCAGCTACTCCTCGGAAACCCGATACAGGCTCACTAGGAGGCAGAACCGACTCAAGTACACTCATCAGGAGAGAAGAAATGATGCTGGGGGCGGGAAGTTGGGGAGGCAACTAGGGTTGCTGGGGAAGAAGGTGGATGATCTCTGAGAAGGGAGATAGTGGGCCTCAGGGTGGTAACTCAGGTGGCTGGGAAGGTGGGAGGTTCTGGCGATGACTTCCTGCTCTGGCTGCTCCTAGGTGGTGGAGGAAGAGGAAGACTCTTCAGGTGCTCCGCCCCTGAAGCGCTTCTGTGTGGACCAACCAGCGGTGCCGCAGACGGCCTCAGAAAGCTAGCGCCCTGCACGTCGCCCTCGCTCCTGCCCCGCCTCTTATTTATTGTGCTCTGGTTCTGGCCATGCTGTGTTGCTGGGGTCCGGAGCCTGCACATAGGAGCCTTCTGGGCTGGAAAACTGACTGAGGACTTGGGGTGGTCGCGCCATCTTCCTGACCCTGGCACCTGTGGCTGCTTGCTCCTGAGAAGAGAAGCAGTCCTGTCCTCTTTGCACCCCAGGTAGGTGGTGCCTCTGCCACCTCATGGTTCATCTGTCACCTCCAGCTAGCAGACTCTGTTGCGGTTCCTCTGGACTAAGCTGCTATCGCTTCCTGAGAGCAAGAGAGAATGTGAAAGGCACCTCTAGGGAAGAGCGTGCCCAGGGTTACTTGAACATGAGCGGAGAAGAGACTAGATTGTGGACTTGCCTGGGGGGCTACGGGCCCCAGCCCTTGGTCTCTGGTAGAGGAGGACTTGGAGAGAAGGGACGGGGCTCTTCTCCAGGTGGGGCAGAAAGTTCATGTAGATGTTTTGCCAGTGACTGAGGTGGTCCTGCTTACAGTGGGCTCTCTAGCTGCTGCCAGTCCTTTGTCCCCCATCATTCTATTCTGTCCCCAGACATACGCACACACACTTCCCCGTTCTCACCTGTACCTTTCAGTCCAGTCCAGGCCCCTGCCTTCCGCCATGGCCTCCAGCACTTTGCCACTAGCTGCCCCAGCAAGAATGAGGCTCTGACAGCGGTTCCCACCCCCACAGCCCTCCTTCAGCTCAGACTTTCTAGACAGTTCCCTTTTCTTTTGAGATCTGCATGTTTAATTGAACTTTGTGATTTTATTTTTTGTTTAAAAAAAAAAAGTTTAAGAAAATGGAAATGGGCAAAAGTGAGTGAAGACATATTTTAGCACTGCATAGAGTATTTTTAAAATTAAATGATTTGAAATATGTCTTGTTGCTATGTGACTGCTTTGTTCTCACAGGCTGTGGGGGCAGAGTTAGGAGGGAGGGGACCGAGGGCTCAATGAGTGCACTTTCTGACAAGAATAATTTGGAGACTCCCTTTGCAAAGGTATCCTGTAGTTCAAATCAGTCCCCTGCCCCTAGAAACACACAGTGCAACCAATGGATGTGTTTCCCATAGCCCCAGGTCCTTAGGATAGATTCTTGAGTTCCTTTTTTTTCCCCACTGTATTTTTTTTTTTTATTGTGGTCAAAAACATTAAAAACTTGACCATTTCAAAGCGTGCAAGTCAATGACATTGCGTCTGTCCACTTAGGATGTTGTGCAAGCGTTACCACTGTATACTTCTAGAACTTTTGTTTCAGCCTGGTTGGATGCCTGCACCGTCAGCCGTGTCTTCCCACTCCCCCTTCCCTGTTATTCCAGGCCTCTGGCAACCACGAAACTGCGCAGTGTCCAGGAGTTCTTGGTTCTACGTCATGAGGAAAATCAGAGAGTCCTGGTTGAAAAGAATTCCATGTGTCAAGAGGAGTTTAGGTGTGGTGCAACAGGATAAGCACTAGACTGCAGCAGTTCAAACCCACCAATCGCTCCTCAGAAATCCCCCACAGGGTTGCTATGTGTCAGAACCGACTTGGTGACACTTTAACAACAGTCTGTATCAAGAGTTTAATTCCAGTATTAGTTTCCCAGAAGTGGTTCCTCCGACTTCTCATAGGGGAGCTGGGAGCTCCAGATGTCCTGGAGAAGAGTAGACACCCACAATCTGTCACCTTGTGTGGTCATCCCTAGTTCACTTTTTCTTAAAACTTTAGCATGTACTCTCAAGTTATTAACTGAATAATGAATGCCGTCGAGTCTGTATACGAAGGGCTGAGACCATAAAGCAAAAGAACCAAGTAGAATTTCTGCAAGTGAAAAACAGGATGATTGAAATCAAGTGCCACAAAAGACACGCAAAAAAGAAAAATCACAATGGGAGTTTGTAGAATGGAAACAGCTCAGGAACCCCCATGTGAAGAAGCTAGCCAACTAGACTAGACACAGGATTAGACAGAACATTATGTGTAGCGAGTGCTGCTGGCGAGGCCCACAGGGGCGATGAAGGATGATGAGAAACTATTCTCTCCTTTAATTGACCTTTACTTTACAACCCCTTGAGAGTTGGAGGGAAATGTGGACTGAAACAAAACCATGAAGAAGACCAGGTCTACTGGTCACGTAGACACTGGTCCTTAATCACCCTTTAGGTCTAGAACTGTACTTCGTGCTGCAGCGCAGTTATCAGCCAAACAATAAATAGGTACATAGGGAGGATATCAACACTAATGAGGTACACACCATAGAAAGATCAACCATTCGAGATCAAAGGGGCAGCATTTTCCTAAGGACAAAAATCAGAAAGGTTGGGGAAGAAGAAGGAATGGAAACAAACACATCTAGGAAGTGAGATACCTGATGTTACCTTGACTGAAATGCAGCAAGAAATGAAAGGAAGTGTGTTGTTTGTTGAATGTGAAACTTACAATCTGCTTTGTAAACCATTCAACTCACAGTAGAAAGTTTACAAAAGCTTTGGAGATTTAAGATCCTGGAAGGTTTTATAGGAGAGCTGGCCTTACTTAGTATATAGCCTTGAAGATATTGTGCAGATGTGACGAGATAGGTGGAAAAACTACCCCGCAGATTAGCAAGTGCAAGAACGTGAGCACGGAGGTGGGAGAGCAAGGCTGTTTGCAGAGAGTGACCACGAAATTTGACTTATTTTCTCCAACTTTTTTTTGAAAAGTTTCAAACCTACAGAAAGTTGAAAAAATAACTCAACTGAATACAGGAATACCCATCATCTAGATTCACTAATATTTTGCTGCATTTCCTTCATGTTTTGATACATGTTTTTCTTTTTGCTGAAATACTTGAAAACAAGCTGTCATCCACATGACACTTTACCCCTAGATACCCGAGCTTGTATTTCCTAAGAACAAAGGTAGTCCCCAACATAGTCCAATGTACCATTATAACACCTAAGAGACCATACTTCAACATGATAGTATCTAATACAAACTCCATAGTCCTGGTGTGGAACTGCAGGTTAATGCGTTGGACTGCAAGGTCAGTTTGAACCACAAGATCAGAGGTTCAAGCTCACCAGCCGCTTCTCGGAAACCCTATACAGAGTTGCTTTGAATCGGTGACCTTGTATAGGGTTTCTGAGAAGCAGTTGGTGAATTTCAACTGCCCACCTTGTAGTTCAAACTGACTTCGTGGTCCAGTGCATTATCCCACAGCGCCACACCAGCCGTCACGTTGTTGTTATTAAGCGTCATCGAGTCTGTTTCAACTCACAGTGACCTTGTGTAGGGTTTCCGAGGAGTAGCTGGTGAGCATGAATCGCCAGCACATTAACCCACAGTGCCACACCAGGACTCCAGCCATCACATATTGTTCTTGTTAAGTGCCGTCAAGTCAGTTCATTAGGGTGAGTTAATTGAATGGTTGAGTCTTGGTGTGGCACTGTGGGTTAATGTGCTAGACTGCAAAGTCAGTTTGAACCACAAAGTCAGTGGTTCAAGCTCCTCGGAAACCCTACACAAGGTCGCTATGGGTCAGAACCGACTTGATAGCAGTTCACAACAACAATAATAATTGAATGACCAAATAGAGCAGGTAAATTTTTAACTGGATAATTTTGTATGGTCAATGTATGATGCTATAAATATCCAAATGGCCCTTGGCAGAGAAAAGTTTTCCACCCCTGCTGTACATAGAGACCAAGAAGCAGCTGGGAACACTGGGTGGTTTGAAATCAGGAAAAGAGTGTGCCAAGGTTGTATCCTTTCATTCTATGCTGAGTAAATAATCTGAGTTCAATTATGTGAAGAAAACATGGCATCAAGAGTGGAGGTTGTTAAGTGTCATTTAATCATCCTGACTCATAGTGAACCGTATAGAGGTCCCAAGGAGCAGCTGACAGGTTCGAACTGCTGACCTCACAGTTAGTAGTATAGTGCTTTTCCTACAGCACCATGTCAGGATTGGAGGAGGATTCATTAACAACCTGTGATATGCAGATAATACAACCTTGCTTGCTGAAAGTGAAAAGGACTTAAAATACTGATGAGGGTCAAAGACCACAGCGTTCAGTATAGGTTGCACCTCAATGTAAAGAAAACAAAAATCCTCATCACTGGACCAATAAATAACATCATGATAAATGGATAAAAGATTGAAGTTGTCAAAGCCTTCTGCATGGATCCACAATTAACACTCATGGATGGAAGTAGCAGTCAAGAAATCAAAGGACATATTGTATTAAGCAAATCTGCTGCACAAGACCTCTTTGAAGTATTCAAGAGCAAAGATGTCAGCTTGAGGACCAATATACAGCTGCCCCAAGCCATGGCCTTTTCCATAGCCTCATATGTATGTGAAAGTTGGACAGTGAATAAGGAAGACCTTATAAGAATTGATGCATTTGAGTTATGGTGTTGGAAAGAATATTAAAAGTGCCAGGGCTGCCAGAAAAACCAAATGAATCTGTGTTGGAAGAAGTATAACCAGAGTGCTCCTTAGAAGCTGGGATGGCCAGACTTCGTCTCTCATACTTCAGACATGTTATTAAGAGGGACAAGTCGTTGGAGATAGACGTCGTGCTTGGTAAAGTGGAGGGTCAGCGAAAAAGAGGAAGATCCCCAAGGAGATGGACTGACGCAATGGGCTTGAATGTAACAATAATTGTGAAGATGGCACAGAACTAGGCAGTGTCCCGGTTGTGTCTAAGGTTGCTATGAGTTGGAACCCCCTCGAAGGTACCTAACAACAGTAATAACAACACGAGTCAAATTAGAGTGTGTGCTCTTACTCCGCTGAACACAGGAAGAGAAGAAACTGTAAAGATGACTTGGAGCATATCATAGACCAGTTTTCATCTGTGAAAGCAGGGAAGGTGCAGTTGCCATTTTCATGTAGTACCACACTGTATTTTTGAGCTGATACTGAGTACGTTATCTAAAAGATGGGTGTCAGATGGTTGGGCAGGGCACAATTTCACTGCTTGCTATAGGTGCTATTTTCCATAGGTACACCTTTACATCTGTTGTCCATCCCTGGAATGGCTAAGACACCAGCCAAACTCTTGGAGGGGGCACATGGGTAGCAAGGCTGGCTCGATTTCAAAGGGTGGAGTCAAGACTGCCTAGGTTTCAAAGAATCGGCTCTTCACCAATTAGATTCCGAAGTGTAGAAGTGTGGGATTGGTTGCCTAAAGTCTTGCCTATATTTGGTTTAGAGGAT